TGTGGAGGGTAGGCTTTACGGGAAGGAGGCAGGATGATAGCTGTGGGGGGTGGTGGTGGCCCCGTTGACGTGGCTATGGCGGCTTGGAAAAGCCGTCGGAGGCGTTGCGAGAAGGGGCCGCCGACAGCGCGAGTCGGTGTCGTGTGAGGGGGCATGAGGACGGCTGACATGGGTGGTGGCGCTGACACGCGAAATTTTGATGGGTTTGCAGCGACACGACGGTAGGAGGTGGCGACGATGCGTTCAACACATTTTTTAGCGAGACGGGGGCGGGGAAGCACGTCCCGCGCGCCGTGTTCGTGGATCTGGAGCCTACGGTGATCGACGAGGTCCGGACCGGAACGTACCGGCAGCTGTTTCACCCGGAGCAGCTGATTTCGGGGAAGGAGGACGCTGCAAACAACTTCGCTCGCGGCCATTATACTGGTGCGAAGCCGTTGGTCATTGCCGTGGTCATTCCGCTGTAGTGTAGGTGGTTTGTTGCGTGAGTGAGTGTTGATGTGGATGAATGAGGGGCGGCATGCCGAATCGGTTGGAGTACTGGTGGGGCGTCGCCGGGGGTGACGGGGTTGGAGTGCGGGGAAGTGGGTACAAGGGTGTGAGCATGGGGTGGTGGCCTGGTCCGGCGCGATTGTGAGGACATGCTCAGGACGCCCTGAATTGGGGTGTAATGGTGGGGTGGCAGGCAGAGCGGGGGGCAATGAGGAGGGATCGGCTGACGCGGTGTGATGTGTTTTGCAGTGGGGAAGGAGATTGTGGATCTGTGCCTGGACAGGGTGAGGAAGCTGGCAGATAACTGCACGGGGCTGCAGGGATTCTTGGTGTTCAATGCTGTAGGAGGCGGGACGGGATCCGGGCTGGGTTCTCTGTTGTTGGAGAGGTTGTCGGTGGACTACGGGAAGAAGTCGAAGCTGGGATTCACTATCTACCCGTCTCCCCAGGTATGCAATGCAGATGGCGATGGCAGAGAGTCAAGTTAGGGAGGTTGCGATGCGTGTGGGGAGTGTGGGGATAAGAAGGGGATGTGTGGCGGCGAGTTGACGGAGTGGGATTGTTGTGGTGGACAGGTGTCGACTGCAGTGGTGGAGCCATACAACAGCGTGCTGTCGACTCACAGTTTGTTGGAGCACACAGACGTGGCTGTGCTGTTGGACAATGAGGCAATTTACGACATTTGCCGAAGGTCGTTGGACATCGAGCGGCCGACGTACACAAATTTGAACAGGCTGATATCTCAGATCATATCGAGTCTGACGACGAGTCTGCGGTTCGACGGCGCGCTGAATGTAGATATCACGGAGTTCCAGACGAACTTGGTGCCGTACCCGCGGATCCACTTCATGCTGTCGAGTTACGCTCCGGTGATTTCCGCGGAGAAGGCGTACCACGAGCAGTTGTCGGTGCCGGAGATCACGAACGCGGTGTTCGAGCCATCGAGCATGATGGCGAAGTGCGATCCTCGTCACGGAAAGTACATGGCGTGTTGCCTGATGTACAGAGGGGATGTGGTGCCGAAGGACGTGAACGCCGCGGTGGCGACCATCAAGACGAAGCGCACGGTGCAGTTTGTGGACTGGTAAGCGGAGGGGGGTGAGGTTGGGATTGCGTGTTGTGGGTGAGGGGCGGGAATGCGTAGTAGGGGCGAGGGAGTGTAGGCGCGAGGGGAGTGGGCATGTGCATGTGCGTGCATGTTGGTGGGGGCGCGATGTGAACAGTGGAGTGGTAATGCGTGCAGGTGTCCGACGGGTTTCAAGTGCGGAATCAACTACCAGCCACCAACGGTGGTGCCCGGCGGCGACCTTGCGAAGGTGCAGCGGGCGGTGTGCATGATCAGCAACAACACGGCTGTGGCGGAGGTGTTTTCTCGAATCGACCACAAGTTCGATCTGATGTACGCGAAGCGCGCTTTCGTGCACTGGTACGTGGGCGAGGGTATGGAGGAAGGCGAGTTTTCGGAGGCTCGCGAGGACTTGGCGGCTTTGGAGAAGGACTACGAGGAGGTAGGAGCGGAGTCGACGGACGGGGGTCCGGAGGACGACGACTACTGAGGTGGGCGTAGGAGGGACCAGTTTGGCGATGGCGATGGGCAAGGCTCCCTGACTCGGGGATGAATGCAGCGATTGGAGCTCCGGATGCCTGGGTCGCGTGCGTGGCGTGACGACCAGGGCTGAATGTTGTATACTTTGTTGAAATCTAGGATTTAAAACCTTGCAGCTTTTATTTCTCATGTGAAGCATAAGTACTGGTAGAGGAGTAGCGCATGTCTTTGGTGCGAAGCCTTGTAACGTTGGCGAAACGTCGCTATCAGTATATTTCACCGATTTTTTCAGTGTGGATTTGGGCGGAGTGGGTTAGGCGAATATGGATTTGAGGACGTGTATAAGTTGTGGTTTTTACATGTGGACTGGGCATACGTGGAGTCTGTGTCTACGTGGCTGCTCTACTCCTTGCGGAGTTTGTTTGCACGGGTGTCTGTGCCGGGAAGTGGTTGATGCTGAGGCTTTTTCTATCGTGGCTGTTGACTGTCAGTCTGTGCAACGGGTAGGGTTGGGGTGATGCTGTGAAGTGTTGTTGGAAGAAAAAAAAAAAAAAAAAAAAAAAAACATTGTAATAGTGTAGTTGAAAGTGTAGGGTAGTGGCATTTGGGAGGATTCTGTTGAGTATGTGAGATTGTGTGAACGTTTAGTAGACATTATCAAGACTATTGATTTCTCTAAATTGAAGAATGTGGTTATTTTGAGCGATGTAATCTAAATTAGTGAATGCAGTTGGTGTGATAGCGTAATGTAGAGTGTTTTAAATCCTAGTTGGCAAACCAGCTATATTTCTTGTTGTGGCGACGACTGTAACACAAACTGACACACGAACAATTCATGGATTTTTTAGGTTCCCGTCAAGTATCAGGTTTACAGAGTTGGATCGCAACTTGATATTCTTTTTGGCGTGGAAATAGCATTCAGTTCTTTTGTTTGCTTAGTGAGGGAGAGTGTAGCCCCCCACCCATGAACCAAATGTAAGGTTACCAACCTCTCATAGAACATTCAAGGGCCCTACAATGAATGGCCACAATGGCTGTGTAGGTATTAAAAACACATCAATGTATGCCATTCAAAGTCGATGAATGGTGTGAGAACATTGTCCTCCACCAGCATTGCAGCTGAAAAAGAATTCCTTTATGATTCTCTTATGGTTCTGAAGTTCTTTCATACTGTAATTCTAATTACTTGGTGGAAGTTGATTTAGACATCATGAAACATTAAATGGAATATTTTGGAAAGTTTCAGGTTATTGTTTAGAATTATCGGGGGAAAAAAATACTGTAGACTTGCTGTTTGAACAATGATTTATCCAAACGCTAATGTAGGTAGGCTATACTACATATAATCTGGGTTTCTTATTATTATGTATTCTGTAGTTAGTTACAGCAATGCTCTAGGCTTTGAATATGTAATGTATATATTTATATGTATGCATGTATTTAGGATAATATTAAAAATTTGAGATGTTAAAAAGTATGATAGAAGATTTGTGATTTGAGTTTGAATCAATCAGAATTGTCCTCAAAAATTTGCATTTGTTTAACTCAAATGGCAGTAACTGATGTTTGTTGTAATTCACTTGTTTATGAGAGACCTATTTATTAGTTTTAAAAGATTAGTTGTGTTAATGTAAGTAATGTATTTGGTGGTGGAAGAAATCTAATATTAATTAGGTGTATAATTTTAATCACTTGTTAGCCATTTCTTTATTTTTAAATAAACAAAAAGAATATATATATATATATATATATGTATTTTTTTTATTGCTTTATTGTAATATGGATGCTTCTATGCATTATATCAAGCCAATCTAATTTACACTTCACGTATTTTTTTACACTTTTATGTTTATGTTCTTGATATAATTTTTGTTCTACTTCTGTATCGCATGATTGAGTGTGTATTGATTACAGTTTGATTAGTATGAGCAGTTCATGATTTGATTATTTTAGTTGCATTATTGTTTCTATTGTTGTTTATTTTTATATTAAATGTTGAAATTAATGATGTTTATATATCTATAATATTTTTATGTTTTTTTGTAATACATTATTTTTATTAAATGTGGCTTAACAGAAAGAAGTATATGTTTTGTATGATATCTTATTATTGCACAGATAAACATTGATTTGTGTGTGTATGTTTATATATATTTATATAGGTATAATTTTATTTGAAAAATTATATTTGTACATTTTTCATTTTACTGTCTGTAGTGAAAGCTCACACTTTTATGTATCCATATATCAACACTTTCCCCAATATTTTTTATTTTGAATTCAAGATGTGCACAGCAATAATGAGATTGACATATATATATATATATATATATATATATAGATTGATAGATAGTTAGTTAATTAATACCAAAATGATGGTACTGCCACTACAACTTGTCATCTACAACATATTACTAGAATTTTTTCTCCTGCCACCATAACTTGCTATCCACTACATTCCATTCACACCCTTTGTCAATTCTAAGTAAGAAAAAAATGTAATATATATATATATATATATATATATTTATATTAAATTTTTTTGGATTTCTTCACTTAGAATTTATCTGATTTTTTTAATTTTTTTTAGTATATATATATTGCTTCTTATTAAAATTAAGTTTATTCTTTATATAACCAGCAATAATAAAATTATAATGAATTTATTCTACAAGTTCTTGATTGAAATAAAATAAACTATAGTTACATGTAGAGTGGATTGTGAGGATTGATGACAATATCAAAAACTATGGTTGCATTAATAAAACTCCACGTTTATATATGCACGCTTGTTTTCAGAACTTGTTAAGAGCTGGAGGAAATTGTGATGTCATTCAATGGACGACGCTCATTTTGGCACGGTATTAGGACCAGCTCTGCAGGGGGACGGAAGATCGCCCTTATCTTCCCTATCTCCACCCGTATGGATATCCCGGATGGCTCTGTGTTGTTCTTCGTTGTCTTCTCCAATGTTGTGGCGGTGGACGCTGCGCATTATCTTCAGCTCACACTCTCCGGTACCTCCTCTCGACCTTGTCAATTTTGCTCTCTGGTCTTTTTGCGGTGAAACTCATTTATTGGAGTTGATATTGTCCTCGGGAAAGTTGGATTGAATGAAACGTATGGTGCGTCAGGGGCGGGGGTGCAAACGACTCATCACAGGGTTTTTGGGGGGCAATGGGGGAGCTCTTTGTTTGCAGTTAGTTGTACGAAAAGAAGGTTTCGAGGTTCTACGTCATCGCGCTGAAATTGTTGATTGGATGTTTGTATGCAACTCTGGTGTTCAGTTTGTAACGGAAGTAAGGGGTTTGTGATGTAAGTTGAAGATTGTTGGATATTATCATGAGGATTTTTAATAATGCAGATGTAATGCTCCGATGCCTTCGACGGTCATGTCCGGTCTGAATGGGAGAGGCATTGTCTTTGGCGCAAGCCTTCTCTAGGTTGCGGAGTAGTGGAGAACTGTCTTTAATGACTGAGAATTACGACTGGTGAATGGCCAGCAGAGTCCATAGTGATAGCATGAGTGAATGTCTTGGAATTAATGAAGCGTAACTGTCCCTTATCGGTCTTGTTTCACTTACAAAGTGTCAGCTTATGCATATGTCGCGTTTTAATTGTTTTTTGGGGCCTTTTGGTATGTCTTGTTACAATGGCTGAACAATGGCGGGTTTGATGCAGTACAGTGAATGAGGGTGTGGCGTAAAATATCTGCGCAATTTGAATAAGGGTTTTATCTTTAGAAGGAACATGGCCATCTCTCTGCCGTCTGCCCCTCAGACTGTCGCCAGCTTTCAATTAGAAGCGGCAGGTAGCAAGCTTGCGCCAGAGACAGTGCCAACTACTCTGTCATGGAGTAGGCGGGTTTCGACATTCGTGAAGACACACCGTCGGAATCCAAATCATCGAAACCTAAGAAGAATGCAATGTTCAGCACAGGTGTACAAGGTGGAGATTGAGCACGAAGGGCAGAAACACGTGCTGGATGTACCCGAAGACGATAGTATCCTTTCGATTGCTCTTAAGGCTGGTCTCACAGTTCCATATGATTGTAATCTCGGAGTGTGCATGACATGTCCTGCCAAACTTGTAAATGGAACCGTCGACCAAGATCAAGGCATGTTGAGTGAAGATGTTATTGAAAAAGGCTACACACTGATGTGCGTGGCCTACCCTAGATCAGACTGCACCATTCGCGTCATCCCGGAAGAGGAGCTCTTATCTTTACAGCTTGCCACTGCAGATGATTGAGATATACAACGTTGGATGATTTCATTGGATTTGGTAGCCGACCACGCGCGCTAAGGACGCACGCAAGTTTTATACCATTGGCAGGGAGACAAGAGAAACCTAGGGTTTATTGTTTTTCCTTCACACCCTTGTAGAAGTTGCAACGAGGTTGGAAGCTGAAAGTTGAGGGGCTTGCGAGAATGTTAGGATCGGATCATGCAGAGTAGACGTCGCGTAATCCATTTGTGATATTGGAATTTTGTGATACATATGACGCTGAGATTGAATTGATTTCCCAACTCTTTGATGGAGAGCTACTTCTGACTCCCATGAAAGTGAATAGTTATCATATGAATTACGAGTATCATGGTGTTAACTGTCTCTTTCTGCTCCAGTACTGGACAAAAGTGGATACCAATTTGTCTCCGGTCTCTTCTTATGTAAATAGCAGTTGCTGAATGGTTATGAAGGATGTATACAGGGCGGGGCAACTGTAGGATGCTATCCAACAAGTCCTTGCATAGTACGTTTTCCGCAGCTCCTGGAGTCTCATGAACACACAAGATTGCGAAGAGAATCGTTTTGTCGACGTGTTGGTAATTAGCAAGTTAGTTTGGGACCACAAATTACTCGAAAAGCTACAGTTTCACACATTGGAGTCTGAAAGACAGTAGCCTAGAATTGTCTTCAGGATCTTGCCTTCATAGCCACTTCCCTTGCATCGTCTGGATGTGGTGCACCCTTGCATTGTAGGCATTAATTGGGTATGTCTACATCTGGGCGTTTTTTTCACACCTGGTGCCAGGCGATCTCGTGCTAAACAATGATTTGTGTTTGTTCTATCGTCCGCTGTATTTGCCACTCAACTGTATACCTTATATCCTCAAATGCATACCTTATATCCTCAATGCTATAAGTATGGGGCATAATTTAAGTAGCCAAATGGTTTCATGATATTATATAAAATGTTTTGTGGTGCCTAAAGCTAGTATTGAAAAATATGCAACAATTTATAAGGAACAACCAAAAGTCAAGCATTCACAATAGACACAAAGCCATAAAGTGTCAAAAAAGTAATTTTCTTTTAATCCATTCAATAACCTAGGAAGAAAGGAGTCCATCTTAAACAATTTGTTTTGATTCTAATAGAACTTTTTTGGATCATATCTTAAGAAGAAAGATTAAATAAAGGTGCCAAATTTTGTCATTCTTTTCTAAATTCAAAAAAAGACCTAATAATAACCTGTGGTATTAAATATATCTATTCTAAATTATACCAATCTTGTGTAATAAAAGAATCTTTGATTTAAAGAAGCTTGAACATATGATGCTGAATTCTTCATGTAGATAGAACTAATAGTAAATACAATATAGAGGTTGATAAAACATTTGTGTCTCAAGTCTTAAGCTATACATTTCTCAGCTTTGAAAAAAACAAAACAAAAACCAAAAAATATAGACATTAAAAAAAACTTATAATTAAATGGTTAGAAATTTACTACATATTGTGATCCTACTTACAACCAATTTTAAAACATTCTATTTGCTACATTCCAAATCAAATAAATGTAAAAAATACGTGAAGTGTAAATTAGATTGGCTTGATATAATGCATAGAAGCATCCATATTACAATAAAGCAATAAAAAAAATACATATATATATATATATATATATTCTTTTTGTTTATTTAAAAATAAAGAAATGGCTAACAAGTGATTAAAATTATACACCTAATTAATATTAGATTTCTTCCACCACCAAATACATTACTTACATTAACACAACTAATCTTTTAAAACTAATAAATAGGTCTCTCATAAACAAGTGAATTACAACAAACATCAGTTACTGCCATTTGAGTTAAACAAATGCAAATTTTTGAGGACAATTCTGATTGATTCAAACTCAAATCACAAATCTTCTATCATACTTTTTAACATCTCAAATTTTTAATATTATCCTAAATACATGCATACATATAAATATATACATTACATATTCAAAGCCTAGAGCATTGCTGTAACTAACTACAGAATACATAATAATAAGAAACCCAGATTATATGTAGTATAGCCTACCTACATTAGCGTTTGGATAAATCATTGTTCAAACAGCAAGTCTACAGTATTTTTTTCCCCCGATAATTCTAAACAATAACCTGAAACTTTCCAAAATATTCCATTTAATGTTTCATGATGTCTAAATCAACTTCCACCAAGTAATTAGAATTACAGTATGAAAGAACTTCAGAACCATAAGAGAATCATAAAGGAATTCTTTTTCAGCTGCAATGCTGGTGGAGGACAATGTTCTCACACCATTCATCGACTTTGAATGGCATACATTGATGTGTTTTTAATACCTACACAGCCATTGTGGCCATTCATTGTAGGGCCCTTGAATGTTCTATGAGAGGTTGGTAACCTTACATTTGGTTCATGGGTGGGGGGCTACACTCTCCCTCACTAAGCAAACAAAAGAACTGAATGCTATTTCCACGCCAAAAAGAATATCAAGTTGCGATCCAACTCTGTAAACCTGATACTTGACGGGAACCTAAAAAATCCATGAATTGTTCGTGTGTCAGTTTGTGTTACAGTCGTCGCCACAACAAGAAATATAGCTGGTTTGCCAACTAGGATTTAAAACACTCTACATTACGCTATCACACCAACTGCATTCACTAATTTAGATTACATCGCTCAAAATAACCACATTCTTCAATTTAGAGAAATCAATAGTCTTGATAATGTCTACTAAACGTTCACACAATCTCACATACTCAACAGAATCCTCCCAAATGCCACTACCCTACACTTTCAACTACACTATTACAATGTTTTTTTTTTTTTTTTTTTTTTTTTCTTCCAACAACACTTCACAGCATCACCCCAACCCTACCCGTTGCACAGACTGACAGTCAACAGCCACGATAGAAAAAGCCTCAGCATCAACCACTTCCCGGCACAGACACCCGTGCAAACAAACTCCGCAAGGAGTAGAGCAGCCACGTAGACACAGACTCCACGTATGCCCAGTCCACATGTAAAAACCACAACTTATACACGTCCTCAAATCCATATTCGCCTAACCCACTCCGCCCAAATCCACACTGAAAAAATCGGTGAAATATACTGATAGCGACGTTTCGCCAACGTTACAAGGCTTCGCACCAAAGACATGCGCTACTCCTCTACCAGTACTTATGCTTCACATGAGAAATAAAAGCTGCAAGGTTTTAAATCCTAGATTTCAACAAAGTATACAACATTCAGCCCTGGTCGTCACGCCACGCACGCGACCCAGGCATCCGGAGCTCCAATCGCTGCATTCATCCCCGAGTCAGGGAGCCTTGCCCATCGCCATCGCCAAACTGGTCCCTCCTACGCCCACCTCAGTAGTCGTCGTCCTCCGGACCCCCGTCCGTCGACTCCGCTCCTACCTCCTCGTAGTCCTTCTCCAAAGCCGCCAAGTCCTCGCGAGCCTCCGAAAACTCGCCTTCCTCCATACCCTCGCCCACGTACCAGTGCACGAAAGCGCGCTTCGCGTACATCAGATCGAACTTGTGGTCGATTCGAGAAAACACCTCCGCCACAGCCGTGTTGTTGCTGATCATGCACACCGCCCGCTGCACCTTCGCAAGGTCGCCGCCGGGCACCACCGTTGGTGGCTGGTAGTTGATTCCGCACTTGAAACCCGTCGGACACCTGCACGCATTACCACTCCACTGTTCACATCGCGCCCCCACCAACATGCACGCACATGCACATGCCCACTCCCCTCGCGCCTACACTCCCTCGCCCCTACTACGCATTCCCGCCCCTCACCCACAACACGCAATCCCAACCTCACCCCCCTCCGCTTACCAGTCCACAAACTGCACCGTGCGCTTCGTCTTGATGGTCGCCACCGCGGCGTTCACGTCCTTCGGCACCACATCCCCTCTGTACATCAGGCAACACGCCATGTACTTTCCGTGACGAGGATCGCACTTCGCCATCATGCTCGATGGCTCGAACACCGCGTTCGTGATCTCCGGCACCGACAACTGCTCGTGGTACGCCTTCTCCGCGGAAATCACCGGAGCGTAACTCGACAGCATGAAGTGGATCCGCGGGTACGGCACCAAGTTCGTCTGGAACTCCGTGATATCTACATTCAGCGCGCCGTCGAACCGCAGACTCGTCGTCAGACTCGATATGATCTGAGATATCAGCCTGTTCAAATTTGTGTACGTCGGCCGCTCGATGTCCAACGACCTTCGGCAAATGTCGTAAATTGCCTCATTGTCCAACAGCACAGCCACGTCTGTGTGCTCCAACAAACTGTGAGTCGACAGCACGCTGTTGTATGGCTCCACCACTGCAGTCGACACCTGTCCACCACAACAATCCCACTCCGTCAACTCGCCGCCACACATCCCCTTCTTATCCCCACACTCCCCACACGCATCGCAACCTCCCTAACTTGACTCTCTGCCATCGCCATCTGCATTGCATACCTGGGGAGACGGGTAGATAGTGAATCCCAGCTTCGACTTCTTCCCGTAGTCCACCGACAACCTCTCCAACAACAGAGAACCCAGCCCGGATCCCGTCCCGCCTCCTACAGCATTGAACACCAAGAATCCCTGCAGCCCCGTGCAGTTATCTGCCAGCTTCCTCACCCTGTCCAGGCACAGATCCACAATCTCCTTCCCCACTGCAAAACACATCACACCGCGTCAGCCGATCCCTCCTCATTGCCCCCCGCTCTGCCTGCCACCCCACCATTACACCCCAATTCAGGGCGTCCTGAGCATGTCCTCACAATCGCGCCGGACCAGGCCACCACCCCATGCTCACACCCTTGTACCCACTTCCCCGCACTCCAACCCCGTCACCCCCGGCGACGCCCCACCAGTACTCCAACCGATTCGGCATGCCGCCCCTCATTCATCCACATCAACACTCACTCACGCAACAAACCACCTACACTACAGCGGAATGACCACGGCAATGACCAACGGCTTCGCACCAGTATAATGGCCGCGAGCGAAGTTGTTTGCAGCGTCCTCCTTCCCCGAAATCAGCTGCTCCGGGTGAAACAGCTGCCGGTACGTTCCGGTCCGGACCTCGTCGATCACCGTAGGCTCCAGATCCACGAACACGGCGCGCGGGACGTGCTTCCCCGCCCCCGTCTCGCTAAAAAATGTGTTGAACGCATCGTCGCCACCTCCTACCGTCGTGTCGCTGCAAACCCATCAAAATTTCGCGTGTCAGCGCCACCACCCATGTCAGCCGTCCTCATGCCCCCTCACACGACACCGACTCGCGCTGTCGGCGGCCCCTTCTCGCAACGCCTCCGACGGCTTTTCCAAGCCGCCATAGCCACGTCAACGGGGCCACCACCACCCCCCACAGCTATCATCCTGCCTCCTTCCCGTAAAGCCTACCCTCCACACCGCAACTACAGAGAAAACGAATGCAACCACCAACACAAACATGCCCCTCCCCGCTACCAACCCCTGGGCACCGGGCTACGGTCCCGCCGGAACTGCTAAGCATCACAAGCCCATCCCCATCCCCTGCACCACCCAATCCACGTACCTTGGCATGCGACCATCGGGCTGAATCCCATGCTCCAGACAGTACAGCTCCCAGCACGCATTCCCGACCTGAATACCGGCCTGGCCTATGTGGATGCTGATAATCTCTCTCATCTCCTCTGACGATACCTTGCCCCACCCGCACACCAAACAGCGGCGCCCCCGAAACTAGAAACAGCTCCTCGAGATCTATCTGCGCAAACCAGGCTCCACCGAATGCAGACACCCAACGCTCTGGAGGCCACAGGACGCAAACTACAAGGCACCAAAACAAAAAGGGGGACGCATAGAGCGTGTCGAGGCCGCTCTAAGAAACCCGTCTGCTGCAACAACGAACCACCACACCCTCCTTCTATTCTCTCGCAACCTCTTCACCACGCCCACTGTGAGCCACTCGGTCCTTTCCCCTCCCTCCCTGTCTCGCCAGCCAGCGCCTGGCCCCTTCCTTCCACCCGCGCCCGCGCCCGTGCTCTCCAACCCCCGTCCACCAGTTAGTTCTCCGCTGCCTGCCCGGGAAGGGAAGGGAAGGGAACAGAGCCGGGAGGAGGAGAGGGGGGGGGGGGGGGGGGGGGAATCTCAACCATCTTATGATTATCCCCTAACCCAGTAGATGTGGTCAATTCCAATGAATCTTCTAGCCAATTTTCTTCATAAACACCCAAAATCCTCTGCATCATCTTGCCAGGTACCTACCTTTGCTTAATTGTCCTGCAAAATCGTAGAACCGTTTTCTTTCTTT